GAAGAGGGGACACAGCAGCTCCTTCATGATCTCTGAATGACCAAAGCTAGAACAATTTTATTGCTGGAGCAATAAATAATGGTAGCATTGAATTTTAAACCAAAGAATAAAGCAAATATCCATAAACCCACACTGATATAAAGAAACAACTGAATAAATCTGAACAAATCAATGGGAGAAAACATATGAATCCACTCTACAAAACAATTCCAATTAATAAATGAGAAACATAGAAAGTCTCTTAGCACACCATAGTAATGACTGCTCTTAGCAAGACAAACCGGCTAAAATTAGTGAGTGAAAGTTTAAGGAGAAACAAGATATTTGCATAGCCTCAAAGTATCCCTCCCAAATATTTAATAGTTACAGAGAGGAACACAGTAAGATTTTACTGGAGAAATCCAGTAGGTATCACCTAAGCTAGTGATGGACCTTAATTTCAACAATAATAAAACATACACTGTGTACCCCCAGGCATCAGGCACCCAGAAGTGCATCTCAAAGTATTTCAAAGAAGTACTCATCTCAAAATGCATAATCTTGTCTAACCATGAGAAATGATTGCAAACTCACACCGAGGGACATTTTACAAAATAACTGCCCCATGGTCTTCAAAAATCCCAAGGTCATGAAAGACAAAGACTGAGGAAGGGAGTCAGGACAAGTAAAAGCAATATAAAATCCCGAGTTACATCCTGGAACAGAAAAATGATGTGACTGGGCAAACTGATAAAATCCAAATGAAATTTGTCATTAGTTAATTTTATCACACCAGTATTAATTTCTTCATTTTGATCATTATATCATGATTATGCAAGCTGTTAACATTAGAGGAAGCTGAATAAAGGGTATACAGGTGCTCTCTGTGCTGTTTTTGCTGCTCTTCTGGAAATCTAAAATTATTTCATAATACAAAGTTTGAAAAAGTTATATATAAGATGGAAAATTATATGGTTACCCTACCTGCAGAAATAATAAAAGATATTTTATTGATTTCTTGGGTATCCTTTCAGTGATTATTTATACAAATAAAAAATTCTTATCTCTACTATTTCCACACACCTTGCTTTTTTCATTTAAAACATATCCTAGAAACTCCCCATATAAATACACAGACTTGCTTCATTTTCTTTTCATATTTTTTATTATGAAAAAAATTTGAGAGATACAGAAAATTGGTATGGCTTGGCATAAACACTCACATGCTACCACCTATATTTCCTCATTTTCTTTTATAAATGTATGGTATTCCATTGTGTGGAGTTAATGCACATGCATTTTTTTAAGTGGGTTCCATGTCCAGCAGGGAGCCCAATGGGGGGCCAAAATGACAACCTTGAGATCAAGTCCCGGAGATCAAGACCGTCAGACCATATAACCAACTGAGCCACCCAGGTACACCAGCTCACATGTATTTCTCATCTCATAGTTAGATGCTGAAATTTCTGTCTTGACCCACACTTGTCAAAATGGAGTAGAGAAATGGTGGGAGATAGAATCAAATTGAGGAGCAGAACTTTGGAACCTGATAGATCCTAATCCAAATAACCACTGGCACTTACTGGCCGCATGGCCCTAGGCAAGTTACTTAACTTCCCAAATCTCAGCTGCCTCATATGAAAATACAATGACATCTTAAGGTTACAGCCAGGATCATGTGAGATGATATATAGAACTCACCAATTCAACAAGTGATACACATTGTTATTGCTATTATTTAATCAGAAAAGTTCAGAAATATCAGGCAGTTGATCTGTGTAAGCCAATTTCAAGAACACTCCTGTTTCTTCCTCTTGCTGATTATGTATCCACCCACCAAGACAAAAAAGTAATCTTAGGAAACATAAAATAGTGCTGCAGCAGTATCACCATAACCTTGATTGTTCTGAAATTCAGTAAATAGAACAATGTGAAACTCGACTTGGCCACAAATTTAGTTGGTAAAACTAAGTGACAAGAGCCCTTATAAGAAGTGTTGTTACTCTTGGCTGATTCAAATGACAGATTCATCTTTCCAGCCCTGGGCCAAAGCACCAAGTCATTAAAAAGTCTGAGACTCCTCCAAATTTTGATCTCTATACTGAGAATCAATACTTTACCAAAAGGTCTGGACTGTCCACAAAATGTGTTGGACCAGTTAGTGAATTTGCCATTATTTCTCCATTGTACCAACAAGATAAGAAACCCTTGACTTTTTGTGTTAGCATTTCTCTATCCACAGAACACATTTCCAGTCGCAAGGGGAAGTGGTTGCAGGTAACTTTGGTATGACTTTTGTAATTGCAATGGCAAATCATTGCCAGCTCTGGAAGAGAGCAGATGTCTTTTTTTTTTTTTTTTTTTTTTTTTTTTTGCCTACAAATAGAATATGTATATAAATAGTCAAGAGAGTGAGAAATAGCCTCTGTCAGTAGAAGCATTCAAACTTTATTTATTCGTTAATTCACTAACTCAACATGGAGGACTTATCAAGACTCTATTGTATGCCAGGCACTGTGCTTGGTGTTGAAAATAATAAGATCAAAATAAGAACAAAACTCTTGGCTTGGGCGCCTGGGTGGCTCAGTGGGTTAAGCCACTGCCTTCGGCTCAGGTCATGATCTCAGGGTCCTGGGATCGAGTCCCACATCGGGCTCTCTGCTCAGCAGGGAGCCTGCTTCCCTCTCTCTCTCTGCCTGCCTCTCTGTCTACTTGTGAACTCTGTCTGTCAAATAAATAAATTAAAAAAAAAAACCTCTTGGCTTCAAGTTACTTGAGGAGAGATAAGACACACTGACAATTATAAAGCAATACAGTTGAGTACTTTGGGAGGGAATAGAATGGCATCACTAAAGCGGTTAAATTTCTGTTGGTTTCACCAGACAGACAAGAAAAAGGGCGTGCTGGCAGAGGATGCAGAGGATGCAGAGCCTGCCGGCACAGAGACATGCTGCTAACCTTGAATTCAAGGGTCCTTTGGGCTACTACTTGCAGATGTGGCTGGTGGATTAAGCTGAAATTATAAGTAGTTTTGGTTTCATCCTGCTCAGTGGAAAACTACTAGTTCAAAAGTAGAACTATTAAATGTTTTTAAGCAAGGCCTAAAATAATTGAGATTTACAGTTGACTTTTGAACATGGGTTTGAACTGCATGGGTCCACTTATATGTGGATTTTTTTTTAAGATTTTTATTTATTTGACACAGAGAGAAAGAGATCACAAGTAGGCTGAGCAGCAGGCAGAGGGGCGGGTAAGCAGGCTCCCCGCTGAGCGGAGAGCCCGACGTGGGGCTTGATCCCAGGACCCCGAGATCATGACATGAGCTGAAGGTAGGGGCTCAACCCACTGAGCCACCCAGGTGCCCCCATGGATTTTTTAAAAAATACAATACTGTAAATGTATTTTCTCTTTCTCATGATTTTCTTAACATTTTTTCTCTAGCATACTTTATCATAAAAACAGAAAATATATGTTAATCAACTCTACATTATCAGTAAGTCTTCAACAGTAAACTATTAAAGTTTCTGGGGTGTCAAAAGTTATATATGAATTTTCAAATGCATGGGGTGTCAGCACCTTTAACCACTGTGTTGTTGAAGGATCGTCTGTACTTTCAAAGATAATTTTCAAAGCTGTACGAAGGTTGCATTGGGAAGGGTGATCAGAAAACCAATTAGAAGTTTACCGTGGTAAAAAAAAAAAAAAAAAAAAAAAAAAGAAGTTTACCGTGGTATTGTAGTGAGAAAGGAGATGGTATTCATGGAATCTCAAGATTTCCATGACTGAAAAGACCTTGTTTTATCAATGGGTCAAGAAGTATAAAAAGCCTTTATCAATAGAAAATTAAGAGTGAAATCAGAAAAAAAATCAGTATGTTTAGGCACTTAAATAAAAACAGACCTTTTATGTAATGAATTCTCAGGTATCCAGGACTGATTCTCTACCAGATGAATTAGTTTATTGAAGAATGCATTCTCTTTTCTAACTTTGTAATTGCTTAAGTTCTTATATGTTTTGCCAGATGGTGGAAAGAGGAAAGGAAATGGAAAACAGTAAATTTAAACAATTTGGCTCCCTGACTGCTGCTTACTATGGAGACTCAGGAAGGTGAGGGCTCATTACAGTGAAGTGTGTGGCTATCTGTCGAGTGCATACACATAGCCCTCATCTCCCCAGAGAAATCAGAGACCATTGAAAGAGAAAATGTACATAAAGAATAATTAGCTTTTTGTGTTAACGCTCTAGAGTACTTTCCCACTTTTCCTATTAAAAGCTTTATTTGGTCCCTTCACCTGAATAATGTATGCAGCACTCATTTCTCTTTGACCAGATGGGTTCACAGCTTAATGAATACATCCTAAAGCTGTGGTTTGATAGTCACTCTTTCTATTTCGTCTGGAGGATTGGTTATCAGAAGAATCGGAACAGCCAGAGCATTTCAGTCCGTCACTTGCTTGGCAAATGACGGCACATCTGGACTCTGACTGCGTTCATCTGAGGCTAAAGCTATTCTCAGCAGCGCCCCCAAGGGAAGGAGAGAAATGCATTAATTGCCCTGATGCTGATAACAGGTGTTCTCTTGAGCTCCCTAAATGCAAAGCCCTTTTGTCTTCTCACTGTAGAAGGCTTCTCGTCGTTAAGTGTAAATTCCCACTCTCAGAGCAAAACAACGCTGAAACGGCTGCAGTATTATTTTCAATGCTCTCTTGTTTCTTAGCTATTTACAGTCATATTTAGAAATACCCATTCACTTCCCTGTCGAGAAGGCAAGAAATATATTATGCTGATGAGACAAAAAACATCAGAAAACATGTGTTTTACTCTCTGGCCATCATGGACGAGGATGAGGAGGCTCTTGGCTTTTCCTTCAAAGAAAAGAATGTTTGAACGTTGTATTTTTACCATTTCTTAGGCTCCCTAATGAAATCTGTTAATTTCCTATCGTTTAGAAGTTACCTGATACTTTAGTCCTCCTAAAACTAAAAACACTTTCTAATCAGGGAGTCTCTCCTGTTGCGGGCATGTTTGCCAAATTACCCAAACGCCGCACGTTCGTCCAGGTGAGACCAGGAACTCTGAAAAGCGGACAGGACAATCCGGGAGGTGAGTGCGCGGAAACTACATATCCCGCCATGCCTCGCTCATGAGCACAATGGAGCCCTGTCGTCATCCGGGTCACCGGGCTGCGCGTTCCGTGCGCGCAGCCGGATTCCGGCCTGGGTGCCGCCCCGGGCGGAGGGCCCTCCTGGGCCGGGAAAACTGCAATTCCCGGCATGCGCTGCCACGGATGCGCCTGCGTACAGGAGCTACCGCGCCGGAGCGGGTTGGTTTAAAGCGCTGTGTTGGTTCCATGGAAACCGGCCTGACGGCGGAGGGACAGAGCTGCTGGCTGATAGATGGAGTGTGAGGTAAGGCTCCCGGCCGTGGACGTGGTGCCGGCCCTGCGGGGGAGAGTTGGCGGCTCAGCCAAGACCCCCATCACCTCCTCCTGCCGCCCTCTCATCCTGTTGTCAGAGTTTAGTATCGCCCTCCGGACCTCAGGACCCTGATTTATGGCGCTTCTGCGCTGGATGCAGTGAAAACCGCTTAGGAGCTAAGTTTGCTTGGACTGGCTCTGAGGGACGGAGGGCAGACGCCCGGGAAGACTTTCCGATAAGCCCCAATACCACTTTTCTTCGTATGTTAGGTTGGAGGTTATAGGTTCTTAGGAAAGACATTTCGACGGGTTTTTTTTTTGGGGGGGGGGGTTGTTTGTATAATTTTTGTCACCAGTTATATCCCCGGATCTGCTTGTTAGAATGTAGGTGAACCGGCATTCGTACATTGACGTTTTCCCAGTACCTGGCACCTGTGCTGGCACAGGATGGTTGTTCATTAAATTTTTGTTGAGTTTTCCGGTTCTTTGCCAGCGACGGTGTCCCGTGCACTGTGCTAAACTCTGAAGATAGGGAGAAATCAATCTGACTACCTCGGAGGACTCAGACTAGCTTGAACACCCACACACACAACAAGTCCCCCTACTTGTTAATTGTGAGCTCCCAGGGACACCCCGTTCCCTCCGTCCTTTCTGTTCTGTTAGCCGGTCTTGTGGCTTTACCAGTGGCACGTATGCTGAGAATTATAAAATTTCTATCCCCAGCGCGCACTTCTCCTCTGAACTCTGAATTAACAAGTTCAGTCTTGTATGGGTCATCTTTCCTGTTTTCAATTTAACAATTCCAAAACAGCTCAATCTTTCATTAAAATTAACTCTTCTGACAGGCTTCCGTTGTCTCCATGAATGGCAACACCACCCTTCCAGTTGTTTCCTTGCTCTCATGTTTCCTATCAAATCGATCGGCAAAACCAATCTTTAAAACATGTCTGGGCTCTGACCACGTCTTACTCTTCTGTGGCTATCACCCCGGTCCTAGCCAGTGGCACTTGCTGCCTGGATTATTGTGGCAGCTTCCCAGCGGAGCTTTCTACCTCTGTGGTTGTCCTCGCACCCTCGTGGGAGGGTACCCAGAGTGATCGGTCAAAAGGTAAGTTACATCACAGCACTCCTCTGCTCTTCACAGTCCAATGGCTCTGAGAGTCACTGATAGTAAAAGCCAAAACTTTATAATAGCCTTTAAGACCTCATGTGATCTGGTCCCTTTATTACCCTCTGACCTCACCTTCTAGAGTTCTCTCCTTCACTTACTCCTCTCCAGTCAGACTGAACTCCTTACTGTTTGTAAGGATCTTTGTACTCACTGTGTACTCTTTCTGGACTTTTCAAAGTCACCTGGCTCTTACTAGTATATGACCTAAGACCTTGGTCTTGTTCACGCCATCCTTTCAATGAAGTAACCTACTTAGGAGCTGAATAGAAATACTCTCCTAAATACAGAAACAGAATTGTGTTAAATAATGATATGTTGATGAAAGTAGCTATGAATGCACTTTTTAAAAACTAAAAGTTTATATCTTAGTATTTTTACTATCGTTACAATCAGGCATCAGGCCTTGGGTTCAAGACTACATTCAATGATATTTGCACCTTTTCAAAAACATCAAAGCACACGTAAGTCAAGCTATAGTGTCTTTGCCGCAATTAGCATGTTAGCAATTAGCAGTTAGAGCTAGGTTCTTTTCCTGTAAGACTGTATGTACTTCTTAGACTACGAGCTTTTGAGCTGTGGCTTTTGAGGATCTGCCACGTGGCCAGTGGACTGTGTGTGGGGCCTGCCAGATGAGGGAGGAGAGAGAGATGGGAATCTGTATCCCATTCAAAATATATGGGAAACTTGTATTCCATTTCTTGTATTTTTTTCCCTAAAATGGACTAATGTATTGTATAGTATTTTACACTTGGCTTTTGATGTAAATTAACAGAGGCCACCCTTAATATTATAACCAGCTGCCTCAGCCTAACACAGTTGCCAGAGAAATGGTCCTCCCTCACATCTCCCGCAGTGCTTGTCCTTTCTTTTACCACTTCCTTCTACTTGTTTCTCCACCAACTGTTGCCTGGGGCTACTGTGTTTCAGGAACATTTTTGTTGCAAGGAACAGAAAAACATGACTAACACAAAAGGCAAAAGTTTATTTTTCTCAAATAAGCAGAGGTTGGTTGTTAATAGTTCTCCAAAAAAAAAAAAAAAAAAAAAAAAAAAAGAAAAGAAAAGAAAAACTAAAAAAGGTCAGGTTAATCTGAACTTCTCTGGCCTTTCCTTGTATTTCTCAGATGCTGGTGATCCGTGACTCTGTTATTTATATTTAAAAGTGAGGCACTGCATGGCTGACTGAAAAAGAGCTCTGAGAGTTCTGGGCCTCAAATGTGGAAGTAAAGGACCAATGCCATAATTTCAGGTTTTTTCCTATCAGAAAAACAAAAGCCTTCCCAGAAGCTCCTTGCAAACTTTTTGCCTAAAGCCTCATTCCAGAATGTGTCACATGGCTGTGCCAGCTGCAAGGGATGCTGGGACATGAAATTTTCAGCTTCTTTTATAGAGAGAACAAGGGAGCCAATTCTGTCTACACCAAACCTTACTAAACACTTTAAATTCTCTCCCTACTTCAAGCCTGGTATATTTCTAGGTGGGCAGTAACAAGACAGCAAGTGATAGAAAGTAGAAGGAAGGTAAACCCATGTGGTGTTTCTCCACTGTTACCCTTCTGTTTTTAACCCTGATTTCATGGAGGCTCTTCCATTACCTGAGGAACACACTATCCTGGTACATGTGGTAGCATGAGCAGGAGTCTCCAAATCTGCCTTTTTTCAGAAACCTAGATGTAACTTACTTCAAGTCTCTGTATATCCAAAGACAGTTACTGTCTATATATACCTTTGTCTTTCTCTTCAGGAAATTTTGAAAGCATGATAGGAAATTAATAATAGCTTCTTTGCCCCCATGTCCTTAAGCTGATCATTAGCAGAAAATCTTTTAACAAATTCAGATTATATGTGTCAGAAATGCTTTCTGTTTCATAGAAGAGAACAAAAGAGAAATCCTAGTCAGAAGCACTAAAATAAGAGTAAAAAGAAAATTTGTACCCTTTGACCTACATCATTCCATTTCCCCCTCCCTCCAGCTCATTGTACTCTGTTTCAATGAAATCAACTTTTTTCTATTCTGCATATAAATGATATCAGACAATATTTTTCTTGCTCTGTCTGGTTTATCTCACATAGCTTAATGCCCTCTAGATTCATCTATATTGTTGTCAGTGGCAGGGTTTTCTTTTTATGGCTAAAAAATATAATAATTTATATCACTTTTTTTTGTCCATTCATCTGTTGAGGGACATTTGGGTTGTTTCTCTGTCTTGGCTATTATGAATAATGCTGCACTGAACATGAGTGAGCAGATAACCTTTTCAAAATCCTGCTTTTGATTCCTTTGGATATATACGAAGGAGTGGGATTGCTGGATCATATAATAGTTCTATTTTTAATTCTTTGAGGAACTTCCATAGTGTTTTCCATAATGGCCATACCATTTTATATTCCCACCAACAGTATATGAGGGTTCGCTTCTCTCCACATCTTCACTTTTTTTTTTTTTTTGTCTTTTTGGGTTTTTTTTTTAATTTATTCATTTAATTGGTTATCTCTTCACATAGCAAATGTTTCTTAAGCATTTGAAATATAGTGCACAGTAGATTTTAAAATATATTACCTGTTACCAAGGAGTCTGGTAGAAATTTTTTTTTTTTTACATAAAACTATAGCTTTATTTTTTTTATATACTACTCTATCTTTTTTTTAATTTTTAAAATTTTTTAAAATTTCTTTTCAAAATTCATTGTTTATGTACCACACCCAGTTCTCCATGCAATACGTGCCCTCCATAATACCCACCACCAGGCTCACCCAACCTCCCACCTCCACCCCTTCAAAACCCTCAGATTGTTTTTCAGAGTTCATAGTCTCTCATGATTCATCTCCCTCTCCAATTTCCCCCAACTCCCTTCTCCTCTCCATCTCCCCATGCCCTCCATGTTATTCCTTATGCTCCACAAATAAGTGAAACCATATGAAAATTGACTCTCTGCTTGACTTATTTCACTCAGCATAATCTCTTCCAGTCATGTTCATGTTGATACAAAAGTTGGGTATGCATCCTTTCTGTTGGAAGCATAATACTCCATAGTGTATATGGACCACATTTTGCTATTTGTCTTTTTGATAATAGCTATCCTAACAGGTGTAACAGGTGTGAGGTTATATCTCATTGTGGTTTTGATTTACATTTTCCTAGTGATTAGTGATGTTGAACGCCTTTTCATTGATCTATTGGCCATCTGTATGTTGTCTTTGGATAAAATGTTCAGACTCTCTGCCCATTTTTAAAAATTTCTTTGCTTTTTTGCTATTGAGTTATATGAGTTTTTATATATTTTAGACATTAATTGCTTATCAAATCTGTGGTATGCTATTATTTACTACCATTCTGTAGGTTATCTCTTCAGGTAAGTTCTGAGGATCTAATGTACAGCATGGTAAGATAGTATGTTGTATAGTTGAAAGTTGTGAGAGTGGATCTTTAGCACACACACAACACACACAAAGTTAACTATGTTATTATCTGTGGGGGGTGATGAATGTGTTAATTATCTCGATCTTGGTAACCATTTTACAGTGTACATGTATATCAAATCATCACATTGTATACTTTAAATATACACAATTCAATTATTCCTCACTAAAGTTTAAAAAAAAAAAGAAAAAGAAACTAGGCCATTCTCTGGGACCTTTGTGGGGAGATAAAAGGTGATTGGAGAGCTATTTCAAGAAATGTTCTTGATGTGGTATATATATACAATGGAATACTATGCAGCCATCAAAAGAGATGAAATCTTACCATTTGCGACGACGAGGATGGAAGTAGAAGATATTATGCTTAGCGAAATAAGTCAGTCAGAGAAAGACGACTGTCATGTGATCTCCCTGATATGAGGAAGTGGAGATGCAACGTGGTGGGGGGGTTGGGGGGTAGGAAAAGAATAAATGAAACAAGATGGGATTGGGAGGGAGACAAACCATAAGAGACTCTTAATCTCATAAAACAAACTGAGGGTGGCCGAGGGGAGGGGGGCAGGGAGAAGGTGGTGGGGTTATGGACATTGGGGAGGGTATGTGCTATGGTGAGTGCTTTGAAGTGTGTAAACCTGGCGATTCACAGACCTGTGCCCCTGGGGCTAATAATACATTATATGTTAATTTAAAAAAAAAAAAAGAAATGTTCTTGATATTGGGAAGAAGCTCAGTCTCTTCACTGCCCCTCATCATGCTTCTCACCCCTTTTAAATCCTGCCGCCAGTCTTCCCCCTTATTTAATTCTTTCCTTGAGTGATGGAGACTGCTTTCAGTTACTTGGACCTGAGGTAGTCACCACTTCCACTGCCTGGAAAGTGAGGGGAAGAGAGATATCTGATTACACAGCAAATGGGAGAGAGAAAAATGTGTTCCTAATATCCAAAGTGGTATCTTTGTGACCATGTATTCGTAGGAGCACTGTTGCTAATAATGGTTAAGGTTTATAGTTGGATTAGTATAGAAACATCTATACAGGTTGGAGTTGCAGGAAAATGTCCTTAAAATTTCTTTCCCCAGTGACCTTGTCGTTGAACTTTGGGCCCATGATTCATCTATTTGTTGGGACTGCTTCTTCTATGCTAATTCTGCCTAATTCTATTACTAATATTTCAAAAAGTACTCTTACACAGTTTTGGGAGAGAAGACTGGAAATTTTATGTCAATAGCTACAGAAGAGTCTTTGCTAGGCTATGATTAAGTTTGCAAATTATTTTTTTAAATCACTGCTTCTTTGTAGTTGAAGCAAATGCTCAGAAGTCTAAGAAGTCTAAGAAGTATAGGATGTTTTTCTGAAAGTTTGCTTGGAATATGTTAAAATGATGATGGCTGCTAATGAAAGAAATGATAATTCCCTTAGCCAAGTCATAGGTCCTAGTATGTGTCTAATAGTAGCAGACAGGCTAGAATAGATTATGATGCAATAACAAACTACTCAACAGTCTCAGTGGCTTATAACAACACACACTTATTGCCCAGTCACACTGGATGTCATGGACAGGCCATAGCACTTCTTCATGTCTTCACTCTAGGATCTTGGCACACGAAGCTGCCCTATCTGGGTTGTTGCTTATCTCATGGAGGGGGAAAAAGCAGGAGATGATGAATGACAAGTTGGCTCTTAAAGTTTCCACCCACATTACATTGACCAAAACAAGACACATGGCCATTCCTGATTTCAACAGGACGGGGATATGTAATTCCCCCACAAGAAGGAACAATGACTATTTTGAACCATAATAAAACCTACTGTACTAATATTGTGACTTTAATCTCAGGTGCATATGGAAACTACAGTGTCCAGACCAGTCCTCTCTCCAACCCACATCAATGCTACAGCTTCTGAAACTTTCACAGTACTTCAGGAAAGGATGAGAATAGTTGAGGAACAGACCAGTTCTCTGAGGGATGACCTAATAATGTTGGACTTTGGTGAAAAAAGGTAACAAATGGAAAATGAACTAGATCTTTGTAGGCTGAAGGATTCTTAGGAGTCTTAGTGCAAATGGTTTGGCAGATGAAATTAGGTATTTATAAAAGAATTGAGAAAAAACAGTTTCCATTTGAACATTAATTAGAACATTAATGAACAGTTTTCATTTGAACGTTAATTTTCTAGATAGAGTTGCCATCCTGTAGTAGACCTACTACCACTTCTCCCCTGAACAGATATTTATTTATGTGAAGAGGTGGGCGGGGGGGGGGGGGGGGGGGGGGAGGGGGGGGGGGGGGTTGGGGGGGG